ATGCCCGATGTGCAAATAGCCATTGGGCTCGGGAGGAAAGCGCGTGCGGATTTTTGCCACATCTGGGCTGCCCGCGCGCTGGTGCGCCCCGTCGCCTGGGCTGCCGGCCCAGTGGCGGCTGGCGTAAGTGTTTTGGGCCAAGTCGGCCTCGATGATTTGGCGCAGAAAGTTGCTGCTTTTCTCGGGTACAGTATTTTGCATAACGCCTCATTGTAAGAAATGTATCGCACTTAAACACCTAAACCCGCTATTTTTTGCTAGCATCGACCCCAACGGACATTCAGGTCAGTAATTTTGTGGACTAAGGCAATGATGCAACCAGACTTTTTTTACCCCTTGCTTTCCACAGGCATGTGGGGCGGCTTTTTTACCGTCAATACGGTGATGGTTGTCACCTGTCTGTGGCTGTACGTGGAGCACCGCTTGCGTGTTTGCTTAGAAGCCGCTGCATTGGGCCTGGGGGCTTTGCTGTACGTGGGCCTACATTTATTCTATATCCCTAAGCAAGGCGACAATGGCACTGTTTCCATTATGCTCAGTTTGGTGACTTTGGTGACCACCTGTTCGCAATTTGCCGTGTATTTGGTGGCCACAGCACACAGCCATAAGCGCCAAAAGCAAAAAACTTATCAACACTTGATGCTGCTGGCACTGATCGGTTGTGCGGCCGCCAGCGCTTTTGTACCTGTCCATACAGTTTGGTGGCTGACACACAGTATTGCCGTCGGTATTTGTATATGGGCCTTTGTAGGCAGTTTGCGCGAGTATTTGCGCAGCATCCCCTTTGCCGGCATGCTCAGCATGATTACTTTCAATGCCCTGGTGCTGCTGCTGTGCATGAGCTGGATAGACTACCACCATGGCCAGGTACCCCCTATCGCTTGGCTGCCTCCTGCTGTGGCCGGAACAGTTTATATTTTGCAAATCACCATAGTGATGGTTTGGCGCTTTTATTACCTATTTGAGCTCTACCGCGCCACCTCGGCTGGCACCAAGTACGACCCCATCACCCGCACCTACCCTATTTTGCAGGTGCTGCTGCGCGAGGTGCCACACAGGCGCATATCAAACACACAAAACGCAGCCATTTTGGCCATTGCCATAGGCAATTTGTCACGTCTAGAAGAAACTTACGGCCTTGCTGCTGCCAATCACGCCTTGTTTGTACTGATGGGACGCATCCGTCGCACAGCAGATACATCAGCAATTATTGGCCGTAGCAACAATAAGAATACGCACGATGTGCTTTTTGTCATTGTTCCTCAGCCTGAGAGTTGGAAAGACGTGGTTGAGCTGGGAAAGCATTTGGTCGAGCGCCTGTCCAACACCATAGAGCTGGGCTTACCCCGTGGCTTTGTGGCCGACCACAGCTCAGAGGCCAGGCTCTGGGTACCAGAAATTGGCCTGGCTCTCCACCATTGCCCCCTGGCCCACTTGCAAGAAGCAGCTATTTATATTGGGCTGGAATCGGCGGCGCGCCAGGCTGTCAGCCTACCCGGGCGCATGGGCTATTTCAACGCCCAAGAAGGCAAAATAAGCACTGCTAAACTTAAAAAAAATACTTGATCTACTCTTAATAATCAATTATTTACAAATACACACCAGGCCTTTCTCTCTTACAATAGGGCACCTATGCCCTCTGCTGAAAATTCCCCCTCCACCGCTTTGAGCGACACCACATCAGAAACGCAGTTGGCCCGCAATTGGTTGCACACAGCCCGTTTTCTCACCACCGCAGCGCAGCTCAATCAACTCCCTCGCCTAGATGTGCCCGAAATCGCTTTTGTAGGCCGCTCCAACGCGGGAAAATCCACCTGTATCAATACCTTAACGCAGCAGCGCCAACTCGCCTATGCCTCCAAAACCCCTGGGCGCACACAGCACATCAACCTTTTTGCGCTGGGCAAACAGGGACTGATGGATGCCGTTTTGACCGATTTGCCAGGCTACGGCTACGCCGCCGTGCCGCAAGAGGCCAAGCGCCGCTGGCAGTTGGTTATGGCTAACTATTTGATGAAGCGAGAGAATTTACGCGCTGTGGTCTTGCTGTGCGATGCCCGCTTAGGACTCACCGAGTTGGATGAGCGTTTACTCGAAATCATTCGTCCACGCGTAGAAGCGGGTCTGGATTTTTTAGTCTTACTCACCAAAGCTGACAAACTCAACCGCAGCGAAGCGCAAAAGGTACTCTCCATCGCCAAACTGCAAACCGGCGGCGGCGGTGTACGCTTATTTTCCTCCTTAAAGAAAGTCGGCGTTGCTGAAGTAGCCCTACAAATGCGCACCTGGGCGCCTGCCATTGAGCCACCCGCCAACCCATCGGATATTGAACCATCATAATCTCTCTTTTCTGCGCTAAGTATTTGTATTTATGACTACTTCTCCTCCCCCCGAACCATCCCCCGCCGCCGTCCATCTACCCAAATCGGACCAAAACCTCATTTGGCTCGATTGCGAGATGAGCGGCCTAGACCCTAAAATCAACCGTTTGCTCGAAGTGGCCATCGTCATCACCAATGCCGATTTATCTGTGCGGGTAG